CAGCAGGAGGCTGTGGGGTGCAGAAAGCGGCAGCGCTGATTCATGGAGCTCTGTCACTAAAAGAACAGCCCCTGTCCTCATCTGTGGGGATTTACTGCCCTCAGCCAGGAAATACGGCTGCCTGGCCTCGCTCACACTTCACAACCCACACGCAGCCCCGGAGCTCAGCTTTTCCCCAGCTGAAATCCTCTGGGCCGTGGCATCACCGCTGCGGTGATGCTGTCCCCATCTGCGGTGACCCGCGGTGAGCTGGGGCTCACACCCAGCTGGGTCCCCAGGGGAGGTGACAGGCAGCACCCTGCCCTTGGGGTGATGCTGCGGGGACAGTGGAGGCAGTTTCATTTCTCCCACCTACCCGTTGTGCTGCTGGGGCACATCCTTTCCTCTGGATGGGTCCCCCAGCCCTGCCCACCCCGGCAGGCAGTGGTGGTGGTGGTGACAGTTGTCCCCTCTCCTCCTGCATCCCAGGGTGAGGTGGGGACCTGGGCTGTACGTACCAGCACCCCAGTTCTGCTCACAGCTTGTTAACGTGCAACGCTGTGAGCAGCACCGGGACATGATGCACGCTGCGCTCCGTCCTGTGCTTTGGGGAGCACATGGGTGTGCAAAGTAATGCTACGCACCAGGAGATGTGCAGAGGGTGGAGCAAAAAGCAGATATGGGGTTGTGTGGGACAGGGCTGGGGCTGCATGGGATAGGGGGTGGTTAGGGCAAGGCTCCAGGTGTGGGTACTGTGCTGCAAAGTGGGGCTGGGGGGGCCCCCAGGGCGGCTCCCGGCTCTACTTCCATGTTTGGGCCACGGCTGCAGCAGAGCCATAAAAGGCGGTGTGGGGAGGGCGCTGGCTCTGTGCCGTGGGTGTGCAGGGTGTGGGGCCGGGCACAGGGTGCTCCTCCAAAGATGGGGCCCCCTGGAGTGGGGGTGGTCTGGGTCCAGCAGAGCTGCCTGTGCCTGGCTGGCCCAGGATAGCGTGTGGGTGCTGGGCAGCATTGTCCTGGGTGGGCAAGGCTGGAGCCAGAGCCGTGTCGCTGTGCCCCGCTGCTGCTGTGCCTGTGGCTGGGATCAGGCTGGGATTGCTGCAGATGCTGAGGTGGGAATTGAGGACATTATCAGGAGCTGAATGCTCAAGGATGAGATCCAGGCTGAGGCCATGCTGTTAATCCATCGCAGGGCACACTTGGGCACCGAGGGTCTCAAGGGGGAGATGCTGAGGGAAGGGGCTGAGCCGGGGAAGCAGTGTGCAGGTTGAGGGCCCAATGCAGCAAACCTGGTGCAGGTGTTTGGGCTGAGCAGAGCCAGGCAGGACCCCACAGCACAGACTGTAGGCCAGAGTTCGGCACATCGGGAGGAAATGTTGTCCGGCTGCCACCTCCAGACAGCAAAAGGGAGGCAAAAGTGGAGTCTGTGGGACTGTGGGGCGGTGCGGGAGGACTCATCCATTTGGGATCCTGCTCTGGCTGTTCCTAAGGACTTCCTCACTGGCAGGGCTCACCAAACCCCGGAGAGAACAACAGAGATAAGCAGATAACAGATCGGAGTGCAGTGACTAACTGACAGGAAAGCCCGAATGTGCCACCAGCCGCTGCCCGGGGCGCAGTGTGAGCCAACCCACAGGAATGCAAAGGCAAACAGCGAGCGGGGCGATCCCCGGCACCGGGTGGGCATGGTGAGCAGCAGGGCAGTGGGAGGGATGTGGGCTCTGAGCTGGGATGTGAGGCAGATGGCTGCTGGGCACTCACAGTGCCATTTATGGGACATTTCGGGTCGGGCTGAGCGCAGGCTGGGAGATGTCCTGGGATGGTGCCCTGCTCATGGCACGGCACTGGGGCTGCCCCTGCCAGGCTGCGTCCCCCAGAGCTCCATCCCTGCTGCTGGATCAGCTTGAGAGGGATTCATGGCCATGCAGCTGCTTAATACCAAGCACAACCGCAGCCATTTTAGACCTGGCATTGCACAAAGCGAAGTACATCCCCATTACCTGCGCTGCTGCAGATGCGTCCGTCCGCCTGCCTCACTCAGCGCCTGCACCACCGAGGGCTCAGGGCTGATTCATCTGCTGCTTTTTCTCCTGCTTACGTACGCTCACATTGTTCCTTCCCCGCCTGAATGGCTAAATTAAGCCCAGCAACAATAGGCCATCGATTATCCTATTGTATTCCATAGGGTCTGGCGTGGTAACTGGTTCTGGGGACAGCAAGGTAGGAACAGCCCGTGCTCACGCCTATCTCAGGAGCCCCAGAGCCGATGTCCCGATGCCACAGCAGCCTCTGTCCTCTGATAGCAGTGGCTCAGCAGAGCCATGTGCGAGCTGCCTGCTGCCGGCAGGTCACCCCTCTGCCACTCCCCTGGGATGGCAATGCCAAGCCGTGCCGTGCCGTGCCACGTTGTGCTGTGCTCAGCCATCCCACGCCGTGCAGAACATCCCTGACAGCATCCTGTCTCAGCCGCCCATTTCTTCCCTTGCCGCCCATTTCAACAGTACTCGTTCCGAGTCCTTTTATTGCCTGAGCTGCTGACAAGTGATTTTTCAAGAACAGAAGGGTCAGCACACGCAGCCCTGCAGCAGTGCCCTCCCGGGGTCTGCGGGCATGGCTCTTCCCTGGGCATTTCCATAGGGCTGCAGTGCTGCTGTGCATGGCAGTGCCAGGTGGGTTTGGGCAGCAAGGTGAGGGCTGGGAGTGCCCCGACCCCCAGCTTGGTTCTGCCTCCCTAGGCTCCTGGGCAGCACTGGGAATCGGGGCCCCGTGGTGCAGAGCAGCAGCCCTGAGGTCGGAGCAGCCCTGTGTGCTGCGCGGGGGGAGCTGGCAGCACGGTGGTGACGCTGCTGCCGGGTCTGCAGCAGGGATGCTTCGCCTGCAGATCTCCTACCTGCGTCAGCAGCTGAATTCCCTCGCCTCATCCCTGCTGGCAGCTCCTTAACCCTTTCCTCCCGCTGCCCGTGGAGGCACGGGGCTGAGCACACGGGATGAAGGGCAGCCATCACTGTGCCTGTGAGCTCCTGATGCGGGTGGCTGCAGCGTGGGGCCTGACCCTCTTCCTGCAGTCCATGCCTGCAGGAGGGAACGAGGAGATTTTCCAGCTGGGGGAGCTGCTCCTCGCCCTGCTCGCTGTGCCCAGCTCCGTGCCTGAAGCTCTGCCTGAGCTCTGCTCTGCACAGTGCTCCTGCAGTGGGGTCAGCTCTCAGCTCTCTGCAGTTCATCTCCAGCGGTGCCACATCCCCAAGCAGAATAGAGCCATGCACCCCGCAGGTCCCCCAGCCCCCTGAGAGCCATCGGCACAGCCAGCGCCCGCCCAGCATCACTGGCAGCCGCGCAGCCCCCGGGGCAGATTTATTACCCTTGGCAGAAGGCCCAAAGGCCAGCTGGTGTTTGGGCCGTTTCCAAGGTTTCCAGTCACCGCTGGAAGTCCTCCCTCAGCCGCCCCCCATGCAGTGTGTGGGAATTGGGTTCCTGGGACAGGACCCAGCTGCTGGGACCACCCGTGGGCCGCCCACCCCTGTCTGTGCTCCCTTAAGGACTCTCCCTTAAGGGTCCCTGTGCTGGGGACCAGGAGCACTCGGAGGGGTTTGCGGTCACCCCACAAAAGCACCCTGTGAGCCCAGCACTCCAGCAAGGTCCCCCCATCCCCCCTGTGCCCACAGGGATGGCAGCTCCATGCTGTGAAGCTGTGGAAGTGGCTCCGGTCACCCGGCCACAGCCCTGGGCACCACAGGGTTGGGCAAGGCAGAGGCAGAGGCAGAAGCGGCCCGACTTGTTTGTGGTTCCTGAAAGACAATCCCAACCCAAAGCAAACCAGAAATCCCGGGCACAGGTTGAGGCTGCTCCTCCTCTGCATCCCACCGCTGAGCAGGACCTCTGTGCGTCCTTGGGGCGGTCCTGCAGAGGGCTGGAGGCGCTGGGTCCAACAGTGGACCAACAGTGCTGGGTCACAGCAGGTCCTTCTTAGTGGTGCTGTCATGCTCACCAATGTGTTTTGGGGGTCCCCTGATGTGGTTGGGTTACTCACAGCACCCAGCCCGGCTGCAGGGATTTGGCTCCTCAAAGGCAATTTTCCTGCATCCAGACCTCACACAAGAACAGCTGCTTGGGTAATTCTGCTTCAGAAGTACCTTCATTAGAACTGTGGTTATAACACTGAGGTACAGCTCTGAGTCCAGCAAAACATACGTGGGCATTTGGCACTGTGTGATGGGGTGGAGCAGGTCCCTGCTGCAAGCAGATCCCAGCCCTGATTGTTGGCACACCGTGTTCCAGGGATGGCCCTGGGGAGCTCAGCAGGAAGAGGCATCTGCATTTGGTTTTGTTTTCCTATTTTTTGTGCCACTGCATCATGGCATGGCTCTGCTCATTTATTTACTTGCAGGGATGTGAACAAACCAGCACTGGGATTGCAAAGGGAAAGAGGGGGAAAAAAAAAAAACTCTTTGATATTCCCTTCCCTCGAGACCAACTGGGGCTTTGTTTTAAAGGTGAGCTGTGAAACATCAGTTTTAATGAGAACAGCTTGCAGACAATGATGGGTTTGAAAACAAAATGCCAGAAGTGCAGAGGTGGGCAGGGATGTCTGGTCTGGGGACTGGGGAGCACAGTCCAGGGGAGATGCACGTGGCCACACCATTGGCTCCCATCTCCCCATCCATCCCTCCGTCCATCAATCCCTCCACCCATCCATCCATCCATCCAAACACTCATCCATTCATCTCTCCTTCCCTCCCTCCATTCCTCCTCCCTCCATTCATCCTTCCACTGCCCATCCCTGTGCTGTGCTGCACCAGGGGCTTCCCAGGAGCCTGAGCAGTGCCCTAGGAAGAGCACAAGCTTTGAGAAGAGCCCATTTTTTTTTGCTTAAACCTACAGAGGAGGATGGTGAGATGCTGGGAGGAATCTGATGTGCTGCAGAGCTGCGCTGGGCATTGGGGCACAGCCTGATGCCAGAGGGAAGGTCCCAGCCCCGTGAGCTGCAGATGTGTGGGTTAGTGAAGCAAGGATCTTAGAAGCAGAACTGTTTTCAAAGCCCTTTATAAGCATGACCTTAGAGAGAGCTGCCTTTCAGAGCTGGAGGAAGAAATCAACTGCATTCGGAGGGTGGTGACTTTTGGACACTTGGATTCTGTGGGAACTCTTGGCCGAAATGCAGACTGCAATAAAATTGGCTGTGAAAATATTTCAGGAGCTTCCTTTGGGTTTCCAGCAGCCTGGTCTGGGAGCAGTCTGTGGGGACAAGGAGCACAAAGCAGTCACAAAGCAGTTGGAAGGCGTTTTGGGCACGAGGTGACCATGATGCAGCTGTCCCTGCTGCTGTGTGTTTGAGCCAAGCAGGGAGACACAGAGGGTGATGCACCAGCTTCCAGAGCGTGGTGTTCCTGCACAGCCCCACTGACAGCTCAGCAGTGTCTGCAGCCATTCCCGTGCCCACAATTTGCAGCTCACTGCCTGCATGCAGCCCTGGGGATGGCAGCCCTGCAGCCCCCAACCTGCTGCCCCCTACCCTGACACAGGAGCAGGAGGAAGGGGAATATTGAGTGCAGCTCACAACAGGCAAACACCACGTCGCTCCCCTGAGCAGCAGCTGCCCAGAGAACAGCCAACCCCAACCACTGCCGTCTGACACAGGAACGATGCCAGCACAGAGAGCTGTGGACATTTAGTGTGAATTTAATAGAGGCACCGTGAGTTACCAGCAGCCAACACTGGGGCCATGGCGCTGCAAATGGCTGAAATCTGCCGTGGGACATCGGGTGGCAGCAGGTGGGGGGTCAAGGAGATCCCAGCAGTGCCCTGCTTTGGGCTGTGCCACGCGTGGGAGAACCGCAGTGCTGTTTGTCACCAAACAAATCCTGAGTGATTTCCACATCGCTGCACGACATTTCAATGGCAGAAAAAATAACACCAGAAATTATCGACTTCAGCTCCTCCCGTTGCCTCCTATTTGCTGCAGCAGGAGCAGTGCTGGACCCTCTAGAGTTGCCCCAGCACAGCGTTGCAGCCTCGAGGTGCAGCCTGAGGCCAGGACTTCTCCCACTGGGGAAGCAGCATGTGCTTGGTGGGTCTCAGCACAGCACTGTGCTCTGCACCAACCTGCCTGCCGGGCTCAGTGCCACAGCGCTGGGCAGAAGGAAGCAGCAAAACCAGCACGGCCCTCTGCTAGCCCATCTCCACGTCCGTTCCTAAGGAAGCTTTCCCCAGACTCCTCTTGGCACGAGCTTTGGCTCAGCACACACCTTTGGCTGCCAGTGGATTTGGTAAAGACGTTTCGTATTTGGCAACATGGCTGCACTCAAGGCCTCAGCACAGCTTCCAGTTGGCAGATTTTATAGAAGGCAGCAGTGAAAACATGCTGTCCTTCCAAAAATACTTCAAGGGAAACGTTTACCAAAGACAGCTCAGCAAAAACAACTGCAACAAACCAAGTTTTGTTTTTCTTTCAGGATGGGGAAGAGTGCATACGGGTGGCATCAGCTGAGGAGCGCTGGGTCCGCCCCACGTGCCTATGGCAAAAACAAATAAGGACAGAAAATATTCAGTCGTTGGGAAGAGCCAAAGGGAACACGTTGGAAACACACTAGAAACAACAGAATTCCATAAACAAGGTTCTAAAGTCTGCGGCTGGCAGCATAAAGCAGCAGCTTTGCTGTAATGTCACAAAGAAGTAAACTCCAAAAGGTGTCTATGAAATACCCTGACTACAGAAAGCAGTGCTGTAAGACCCGTGGCTGTGCACTCTCTGTACAAAAGGAGAAGAATCACGCCAGCAGGCATGCCATGTAAAAACAGAGAGAGCGAGAGATGGCCTTCAGGTGACCAGCTCTTCCTCACCAACAGAACAGATACTTTCCCTGCAGTCCCAATGGTCTGCAGGTTTATTTTTGGCAGATTGTAATTAAAATGATCGTCGTGGCGTTAGAGAGAAGCCACCAAGAGGCATTGTTCTGGTTGAAGCACGTGTGCTCGGGGTGCAGGGATGCTGCAGGGCCCTGCCCCCCCCCCCACCAGCCACACACTCTGCTGGGGGCACTCGGCTCTCATTAGTGTTCACGCTTCTCATCAGCAAGGTACAACTTCTGGTTCCCAACCAGTCCAGTCTCAGAGGCAGAGTAAAAAAGTCCTTGTGAAGGTCTAGAAACACTTTGTGTTCCTATGAAGATCAAATCCAAGCACGTGCAAACGCTGTTCCTGGTTGGGTGCGTTTCGCCCCGTTCCTCCGCTCACACGGTGCCATTCTCCTGCACACAGACTCCATCCCTCTTTCATTCTCCCCCTTCCAGTCCTCTCTGGAGCCTTGACAAACCTCCCCTCCATTTTTGTCCTCCACATTTTTCCTCTGCACATCCTTCCTGCCCTTCCCTCTTCCTCTGGAGCTCCCGGTTCCTCTCCAGCTATTTTCGGAAATTGAAGATGTCGTGTGTTTTCACTCCTCTCCTGCCTTCACCTCCTGCCTTGGGAGAAGAATCCTCCACCAGCCCCCCATAGGGGCAGCCCTCGGCTGCGGGGTGGTGACCAGAACACTCCACTGCAGGGATGAAGCCGCTGTCCCACATCCCCGTCCCACACAGCTGGCACAGGTCGTGCAGACTGCAGGGGATGCGGGGCAGCAGGTGGAACTGATAGAGCAGGCTCCTCGCCTAGAGGGGAGAGAGACAAAGTCATTCCCACGTGCCAGGGTGTGGATACAAAGCACTGGGGTTGCCATCGGGCCCTGCTCAGCTCTGTGATAGGAGTCAAAACTTGGGGCACCCCTCCTGAACAGCCAGCTGGAGGTTAAATGGGGCCTGAAGGCATTGCCAGCAGGTGGATTTAGCAGGAGCTGCTCTCAGCATGGGATTCCTGCCCCTCGGCACCGCAGTGCCTGCATCTGCCCTGCAGCCTGGGCTTGGTGCTGCTGTGTGCAGGCACGTCCCAGCAGCATCACCCTGTTCTTGCTGGCTGCAGGCAAGCAGGGTTTACAGGAGGTGAGGAAGATGAAGCACCAGTCCCTGGTTTTCTCCATGCTCTGACTCATCTCATGGGCCTGAGAGCCCACCTCAGCATGCAGACATTTACCTTCCTGAGTACGAGTTCTCCGTTCATGTGCATAGCCAGGTTGCCGAAATGCAGCAGCATCTGATCGGTGGCCAGCTGTTGTTCAATGACATCATCCCCATAAATCACCACGATGGCCACACAGATGAAGAGGTGGAAGTAGTCTGTCTGCAAGGAGAACACGGGCTGGGTTACAGCAGGTGGAAGCTGAGCTCTGGCTCCCCACCCTCCACAAGCACGTCCTGAAGAGAGATTTGTTGCTCCTTCCAGTTCTGCTTAGTGGTGCTCATAAAGGAGTTGTTGTGGATTCTGAATCACAGCTGAGTCAAAGTCTCTCACCTTTAAAGTGTGGGAGTGTGGTTTGGGCCACAGCTTTCAAAGCAGACTGGTGGCTCTGGGAAGACATTGTCCAGCTGTTAAAGAGGAGTCTGAACCTCAGAACGGATGGTCAGCACATTCTGAAAAGCATAGGCATCCCCAAGCTGGGGAGCAGCGTCCATCCTTTTGTTCTACAGGTAAACCCCTTTGGTAGTTACAGACTCTGAAATATCTACAGTCTCCCCACAACATCTGACAGGGAAAACTGCTGGAAGATGCCCACAAGGAACACAAGCTTGTGAAACAGACTTTTCAGGTGTCAGTGCTGCAAATGTTCAAATTAGGGGAACCTGCACTTTGATGAATGAACAGTTTTGTAAATGAAGCAGAGCCCTTCGGAGCCGATCTGTCTGTGAGCATAAAGTAGCTCAGGCAGCTCCTCAGTGCCTTCACCAGGCAGCTCCACGTGCAATTTGTATGACTTCCCATTTCTTTCAAGGTTACCTTCCAGCAAATCAAAGCAGAACCCGGCAAAGACAAAACCAAGCTGTCCCATCTCAGCTAAGAGAGCGCTGCGGGAGAGGGAATGCCTGCAGTGTAACTGATTTCGGATACTTTGCTACGAAGGGCCTTTAAGGAAAACCCCGCAGGGTGCTGAGGTGAGGGCTCAGCAAAGCACACTGCCTGTGTGCTGCATGGACTCCCACCTGGTAGTGTGCCCAGCAGGCTTCCCACATGCGCAGAGCCTCAGCGTCGGGGAACTCCCGTTTAAAGCAGAGGAGGATCCAGCGGTGACAGAAGAGCATCTGCAGGCCGTCCTCCCCCAGGGCAGAAAGGTGCTGGTAGAAGCGTGGGTGCATGAGCCTCAGCAGCTCCCGCAGGTACATCTGCAAGAGATGCACTTGGCTGAGCCACTGCCTGTGTGCCAGGACCCCCAGAGCCCCCCGAACCCCCCCACGTCCCCAGCACAAGCCAGGCCTGCTAACACTGGTTTGGGTTTTGTCCTCCCACACAGAGCCCCAGCTCACGGCCCCGGCTCACAGGCAGCTCCTTACGTTCAGCCAGGAGCAGCCCGGGCCACTGCAGCTATTCCACAAAGAAGCAGGGAGGGTGAAAAGAAAATCCTTTGACTGCTAAAGGAAGATGGGGAGAGTCGGGCTGGGCAAAGCAGCACGCAGCCCTTGAGTGCAGACAGGATGTGGCTACCTGCAGCATTTCATTTCAGCGGGGGCTGAGCAACGTGTGAGTGATTTTAAGAAGCCTGATGCTATGGGCACGCTGCAGAGCATAATCCATACAATGACTGCACCTCACCTGCAGCACCCCACCAGGCTTCCGTGACAAATTTACCATTGTACATCAGTGCCACCATGACCTGGACAAGAGGGTTCAGATTTAAAATGTGTTTCCCAGGATTCTGACCAGCGAGCAACTGACATTAATGTTCAAACCTAAAAGGTTTCTATTTTTCAGCAAGGTCACTTTATTTTAAGTGACTGTGCCAGATAGGAAAGGCTTTTCATTTGGATATCATTAAAAAGATATCCATTAAAAATGTTAAACCTTCAAAAAAGCTCATACAGAGGGCTGCAGCTCCACTACTACGCCTCATTCATACCTAATGCCCCCAAATCAGGATGGAAACAAATGAGTGAGTCTCCTCTGCCTGACAGAAGCACAGAGAAAAAGGCAGCAGAATCCTAAATAAAAGATGACCATAAAAGATTCCTTGAATCAGAATCCTTCAGCACAGCCAAGGCAACTTGACTGACAACTTATTGCCTATAATTGCCCCTGGAGTGCCTCAATCACCTGAGATTCATTTTATCCATCGGATACTTTGTGGCTTTGGTGCATGATTTCACACAGACCAGTTAACAGCTTTACGTCATTCCTCCAGTTTGAATGAGGAAGGGAGAAATTACAGACAGGACCAAACCGAGCCCAGCCCTCTTCCTCACCAGCTGTTTCTCCATATCCTCGTCCCGGGGCGAGCTGATGAAGATGGTGTTCTGCATCAATCCCACAAAACACCAGAAAGTATCCGACTCATCCAGGACCTCTGCCAGGATTGGGGCGACCAGGTCGGACATGCCTTGGGAATACCCAATAGCTGGGTTAAACACTGCGTAGTTCAGCAAGATCCTCCTGGAGGAGACATGCAAGAGAAGAGGTGAGACGTGGAGGGCACGGCCCTTCCATCCTACCCCAACCATTCACCAGGAACATGTTGACGAGTCCCGCACCCATCAAGAAGACTCTGAGGGCTGGTCTTCCACCCCATCAGCAGGACCACAGCCATAAGCACCTGCCCACGACCCTGCTGCAGCACTCTGTACTCCCAGAGCTGCAGAAGGCTCCCCCCTCTTTTATGTGCAGGGAAGCTAGGGGATGGCAGTGGTGAGAGCTCTGGGGAAGGAGTTATTTTTGCATCCTCTGGTCCAGCCATCCTATGTGTGATGCTCTTCAGTATTCCCAAGGCAGCAGCAGAGGCAGCCTGGGCCATGGGGAGTCCTGGAGTTTCCTACGTGCTCAGTAGGGCACTGTGTGGGACGCTGAGATCAGACACATCACCTCATTGTTTCCACATTGGGGTTGTTTTCCCCTCGGAAGAACTGGTTGCTGCGGTCAGTCCTCACAACATCCTTGTCTACTGTGAACTGCACCTTGCGCCAGAAATCCTTCTGCTCATCTGGAGACATGGAAAGCCTGAAAATTGAACAGCAACACAGGTATGTTGAGACTACAGGCACAGGACCGTCACAAAGAACAAACAGCCTTACTTCAGCTTTAGCTTTGAGAAAAAAACCCTATTTCTATACTGAGTTTTCTCATCAGTTGAAAAGCAGACAAGTGGTCTGTCCAGAACAGCACATCTTCTGTCCAAAGGCATTATCAGAAGGAGCCTCCTGGGTTCTGAGAGGGTGACACAGTGTGTTTTGTGATGAAGTCGACGTCTGGAGCAGCTGATGATGCTCTCCACTGCTCCTTGTGGGTGTCACACCAGAACTCACCACTCTGCTGCAATTTACTCCAAAATAATAATACCACAATCTCTCTCCAGCTCAAATGTACCCACAATCAGTTTGCAAAGCACAGTTCCGGCAGTAATAACTTCCTTAAATTTGACATATCTTCTTCTTCCCTATTTTTACATCCAGATACATTCATGAAGAAACCTAAAATCCTGTTTTCACCTTCAGCCTGCTAAGCCTAGCACATCATGCCATAGCCTTGCCTGCGAGACAAACTCCCTGCATGGTGCTGCTGGTGCTGCTCCAGGAGCTGGGTGAGATAACATTGGAGTAAGACTGGCTGTGCTGAGAGCAAATCTGCTCCCTTCACCTCTGTCCCCAGCAGCTCTTTGGAGTTAGAAGCTAAAGAGAGGGGAGCAGCCGAGGCTGAGGCCACTCTGTTACCTCTTCTCCTGGATCTCAAAGTACTCCTTCCTCTTCTGCACCCTCAGTGCCTCCCTCTCCTCAGAGGTGGACTCGTAGCTGTAGTAGTGCAGCAGGAAAGGCCACACTTCCCCACGGATGGACATATCGATCCCACCAAAGAAAATGGCCTGGAAGGAAGAACAGAACCGTAGAATCATAGGAAGGTTTGAGTTGGAAGAGATGCTGAAGGGCATCTGGTCCCACCCCCCGTGCTAAGCAGGGACACCCACAGCTCCATCAGTGCTCAGCGCCCCGTCCAGCCTGACCTTGGCTGTCTGAACAGAAGTTAGGACCGGTTCAGCTTTAGCATTCCCAAAAACAGCAACAAGGAACTGCCTGCCACTGTGCTGCGTGGCTTTGCAGCTCTCTCCTGACAAGTGACGCCTTGATTCAAGCTCCTGCAATTTGCACATGTTTAGAGGGAAAGTGCTGGCCTTCTATTCCCAGACGAGACACAAATCGGGCTCATTTCAATGTCAATAACCCCCCCTGGAGTGGCTCTATGATTAACGTGTCGTTCTCATGTCACGGCTTAATCCCCAATCTTGGAGACACCGCATTTCACTGCAAACCCCTCTCAAGACCCGGACCCGGTGCTCCCCTGAAAGCCCCGCATTCTTTCATACAGTCACCTCAATTTTTCTTTCTTTGATTTGCTCACAGCACGCAGAGCACAGACGCGTTGGTTTACCCATCCTGCTGCCTCCTTGGGATGATGCTCAGATCTCACCTGCAAGCGCTCTGCGGTCCCACCAACACCTCCAGCCATGCACCACGAGCAACCTTCATCCCTTCCAACATCACCTGCCCCGAAAGCAAACCAAGCTTCCACTGCAGGACTCTGCCCAGCACAGAGCAGCAGCCTCAACTCACCTTCTGCAGCTTGTACTCCTCCTCCACCTGCCCGCAGTGGTTCAGGTGGCTGAGCCATGCTGACACGTCGAGGCGCCGGTAGGCGTTCTCCTCTGGGTGAGTCTCTGATGAGGGCAGCTTGGGCCGACGGATGGAGAACTGCATGCATGTCTTCTCATCAGCGAGCTGCTGAGCGAGGGGAGCAAAACAAAACCAAACAGAACAAAAATGAAGGCGGGAGGCAGATAGCGGCACAGCGGAGACGTGGGGAGCAGCAAAACCTTTCCCTGTGGTTCTTGTAGCAGGCACAGCACTTAGCAAGGTTGTTCTCTTAATTCCAACCATTACAATAGCACGAGTGATTAGAATAATTAAAAATCAGAGCGCCACAAAACAGCTTCATCTTAAAAAACCACCAAAAACAACACAGTTTCCTATTCCTCCCCCCATCTTATCCCTGACCTGAAAGCGAATTAATGCTGCTTACAGCAAAACTTCACCCTGCCAGGAATGCCTGCAATAAATTACATATGATTGGCCATATACAAAGGGATTGCTGTTAGGCAAGCGGGGAACGGCACTGCCAGGCTCTCTAAGGGCACTCCTGATCCCAGTGCAAGACTGCAGCTGACATTTAATTTAAAAATCAAAGGTTGTTCAATGCAAAAAGTGAGCCCATGCGACCACAATAAGAAAAGCAGCAGGGGTCTCTGTGGGAAGGATGGAAATTTAAAAATCACTGTTACTAATAAGCACATATAGTATCTTAAACAGATAATTAAACAGCTCTTATCACATTTGTATGTAGATTGAACAAAATATGGCAATACGCCTTGTCAAAACATTTTCAGATGCAGTATGCTATGCTTCACAAAATGGATGAAAGGCTCGGACAGCAGTGCACTGCTGCACTGGAAATTGGTTCCCAGCCACCTCACCACCCAGAGCACAGTGCTGATCTACCTGCACACCACAGCCAGCAAAATTACCCCCTAACGAGGTTCCTGCCTTATCTGCTCTACATTCCACAGGCAGAACAGGAACGGATGAGGATGAACAAACACCACCAAGACCTCCCAGCTAACTGCTGGCTGTATCCCAATAACAGTCGGTGCCTTGCTGCCCTATTTAGTGATGGAACCTCACAGCTTAATTTCCCCAACTCCTTGTGAGAAGTCCCCTGCCCCACCTTGCCCGCTACCTGCTCCTTCAGGTGGGTCTCGGTGCAGTACTTCCACTGCTGGAACACCTCTGACACTTTATCCAGGCCTCCATGGTGAAAATGGAAGATCTTGTACTGGCTCTCCCTGCTGGCGACTACCAGCTGCCCACAGGTGCATGCCTCGTCGCTGTGGGGAGGGCAAAGTGGGGTTAGAATCAGAATCATACCATCACAGGATGGTTGGAGCTGGAAGGGACCCTAAAGGCCATCTGGTGCCACCCCTGCCCTGAGCAGGGGCACCCACAGCTCCATCAGTGCTCACAGGCCATCCCTGCCCTTGGCTGTCTGCAGGGATGGGGCACCACCATCTCTCTGGGCAACCTGTGCATCAGCAGACCCTGCTAGTCTGTCCTCTTCTTCCCTACAGCTTCCCTTTGGGCACTTGGAGGCCAGCACAGATATCCCTGGAGCATTCTCCTCTTCAGGTCACCTCACAGGGTGAGGAGGTGCCCCGCAGGAAGGGGACGTCGGATTGCAGTGAGAGGAAAGCAAACTGTAATGAAGCCCTCCCTTCAAACAAGGCAGAAACCATCTGACAGCTTTGGATGTGACCACTGAACCAGAGCACTGTGAGGCTGTTCCACCAAGAGCTTCCCTCGTGCTGCTAAGAGCACCCTTACCCTCCCAGTATGCCAAGGAACTGCATTTTATCTTTCCTGGAGAACAAACCCCTGAAGCCTGCCTCACGGCACCTCTGTGAAAGGTGCCTAAAGAAAGGTTACCTAAAGAAAAGGCGCAGGGATCTCATTTGTCCCAGGTCCACTCTGAAGACTCCGCAGATCTGCTCCAGGGCTCCCACCTTCTGCTGCTCCTCTCCCTGCGTTCGCCCGCTGCTCTCTGGGCTCTGGGTGCTGCCGTTGGGGCTCTCTGTGCAGCAGTGGGAACCTGGCACGTGGTCATCACATGCATCCCTGCAGCCATCACCTGTGTCCCTGCAGCCATCACCTGTGTCCCTGTAGCAGAGTGAGGGGAGAGCCCAGCAGCGTTAGCCAGGAGCTGCAGTTGCATGTGACAATCACGGCTGCCACAAGGCTATGCATCTTTCCCAGAGCTCTGACATTGGAATTCAGGGCAGGTCTAGGGAATCAATAACAGGCTGCTTACAAAAGAGATTAAATGATTTTTATTGAAATCAATGCCCTGCCATCCCAACAGGCGCTCCTGGGTTTGGTCTGCTGCACACAGAACTGGAGAGGGTGGATGTGTTCCCCACCACTGCCTGGGGAGGTGAGCTGTGCACCCTGGGTATCAGCTGTGAAGTCCCTCTGAACACAGCAAGACCAAAAGAGGCTTCTCCTGAACTTGATCCATGCAAGCAAGCCCCACAAGCCTCAATTCAGATATACATGGCTTCAGGTTCCCATTTGCAAGCTTGGCACTTGGGGAGTTAAGGAGCGGGAAGTGACACATGAGCTCAAAGCCAGCCTGGAGCAGGAGAGTGAAGCAGCATGCTGCAGGGAGCTGGGAGCATGCAGGGAGCTGGGAGCATGCTGCATCCATGCATCCACCCCAAGAAGCAAACTGAGCTCAGAGCAAAGGCCCTGCATGCCCGCCACCAGCCCCGATCCCAAAAGAAAAATATCACTGCTTTGAGAATTAAGTGAATCTGAAACTGTGACCCCTCGGTTCTTAAAAAGGCCAATACATGTGAACAATCTCAGAGCAAGCTCTGAATGGGTTCCGCTGTGAAATCAGGGTTTGCAAAACAAGGCAAGTAGCAGGTATAAAGACAGCCCCCTGCAATGCCACTTTATGCAATGTTTTCTAATCCGCTTATCTAACAATGTAGGCACTGAACGCTGAAAATCACACACTCAGCATGCATCTGCAGCACAGCACATCAGTATGCCTGCCGAGCCCGGCTGCGGTGCTCCTGCACAGGGCCGAGCCCCGCGCGCAGCATCTGCCCGTGGTTCAGGTCACTGCACCCCAATGGCCGGGGCTCCGGACATCCCCCTTGGCTGTGGGTGACATTTTTAACGGTTCCAACGGATGGCTCAAAGCCTCAGCGCCCACCCGCATGGGAAGCAGCCCCCAAAGCCCCTTCCTTCACTCCGCAGCATTGTGTACGGACAAACGCCGCACGGCTGCCTGCTCGAAGAGCAGCTCCATGGCTCCGTTTGTGATGATGTGCTGCTCTGTCTCGGTGTGCCCGTGCAGCACTTTGGTCTCAATAAGGCCATGCAACGCTGCAGGCTTGGGGCACGGTGGTTGGAAAGCTGCCTGGGGGTGCTGGGGCACAGCTGCCTGAATGTGAGCCACCAAGAAGGCGGCCAACAGCATGTAGGCTTGTATCAGAGGTGGAGGTCAAGCTCTGCTCCCAGTTAACAGCAATGGGATGAGAGGCGATGGCCTTGCACTGCACTGCAGAGATTCAGATTGGATAGCAGGAGAAATTTGTACTTGGAAAGAGCAGCCAGGCACTGGCACTGCTGCCCAGGGAGTGGGGGAGTCACCGTCCCTGGGGGTGTTCCAGAGCCATGATGCTGAGGACTGTGGTGAGTGGGCATGGTGGGGATGGGTTGGGGTTGGACTTGGAGATCTTGAAGTTCTTCCCCATGAAAATTGTTCAGGTCTTTGCGAAAATTCAAGTGCTATTTTCAGCTCAAGCTGCGAAATGTAACACCTTCCTAAAGCGCTCTGTAGCTCACATGAATGCAAAAATAACAGGAGTCCTGGTGCAGGGCAGCCGTGTGGGACTGCTTGCTGTAAGCAGCTGGTATTTGTGAAGCAACACTCAGCAGGCACAGCTGGTTCCACAGGATTGCCCTGGAAGAGGTGACTCAAACCAACTGTAAGACTGAGCAGAGGTTCTTGTATCTGTGTGCAGAGCTGAACAGAGGCACAGCAATGGCTCACTGGGATCTGCTGCCCCATGCACACCGTGTGCATTCAGGCACTGTGGGAACTGAGGGGAAAAAATCCTCGCCGTGTTTAGGGTCACTTTTTCCTTTATACATCAATACTGGGGAAAAAAAGAACAATAAAAAGGAATGGAAAGACTCTAAACTGTGAGTCTACTTCTTAAAGCACTGTTAACGTACCCAAGTAGTGGAACATAGCACTAACAGCACTGGTTCTGTGGCTTCTGGGGAGTTCTCCATCCAGGCACACTTGATGTGCAGACACAAGGGAAAAATTTTCCCATTTATTATTTATGAAAGCCAGACTATTATACCTGCTGGATGAGGGATTTGCACCAGTGCAAGGCAAAATGCTGGAGGAATATTTAAGAGAGAGCTGGGGCCGTGGGAACCAGAGACAGCAGACTGCCAGGAGAACACATGCAATCCCCAAGGGAACAGAAGGGACAGAGGAAAAGATTATCAGGTGAATTAGCAAACCTAGAGGCAGGAAGCCCACGGACACAGCCACAAGGCCAGTGACACCTTTTCTCTTTGCTCAAGTCCCATCACTCTCTTGTTACAAAATACATCTCAGTCTTGCTGCTGCAAGATCAGGGAGTGATGCATTTTCTCCCAACCGTCAGCTGCAGCAATCGATGCCTCTATGTCCCATGAGCTTCTGCAGCATCTACAAAGCATAACGCCCGCGTGAGGCTGGCCCTGTGCTTCAGCTGCAGCAGGAACTGCTTGGCAACAGGATGACTTACAGCAGTGGGGCAGACCTGCAGGAACTGTGGGGCTGACCTGCAGCAGTGGGGCTGACTTACCGTCCAGCCAACACGCACCTGCTGCACAGAGACAGGAAACCAGTTGTTATTACTGTTACAGAGCCAGGGCAGAGAGCTGCACCAATTACATGGGAAGGCTATTTTAGCGACAAAGATCTAATAACTCATTTTATGACAAGATGTGACACGTGTAATTATAAGAGGGAGGATGGCAGACGGGATGTGGCAGTTATTGAGTGCCTCCCAGCCGCCTCCCAGAGTCTCTTGCAAAAGCCAAACCCTCTCCCCTTGGCTCTCCATCACCACTGCATTCAAGCACACCTCCAGTAATTGCAGCCTGCCTCACAGCCCCATCTATTCCTGCACGCTGCCTTGTGAAGCGTTGTTTACAGACAATAAGCATCACCATAATGTATGAGCACCATGAAATGGGAACAACGTGCCCTTTCCCTCCCCAGGGCTGATGTTTCTCTGCTTCTCCACAGCTCCCCACAGGCACTGACCTTCCAGTTCCGATTCTCTCCAGCAAGGTGACGCAGCTCACGGCAGCATCAGCTGCCTGAAACGCCAATGACAGATGGCTTCAAATAAATAATCCATCAATAAAAGTTCAAAGATATCCCAAAACGCCTAAACGCTGAGTGCGGCGATGGCACAAAGTGAGGTCAGGTTGGGTAGCTGGAGCCCAAATCTATTGTTCTGATAAATAAAAGAGTGTCCTTGACAACATACATGTATAATGAATTGTGAAACCTGCTGATTTCAGCAATAGATGAACGAAGTGCAAAAGAACACAGGTAATATGGAACAAAGCAGTTTGCCAAAATAGCCCTGCTTGCACCGGATGATGCTGCAGAGCGATGGAAGGACACGGGCAGGGCAGCAAAGTCCAGTGCCAAACCCTGACTGGTGGGAACATGTAAAGATGTTGGGAGCCGTGCAGAATTCCCCCTTGGGCTGAAATAATGTGGAACTGAAGCCGCTCTGCCTCGGAGAGCCCCAGTAGAATCAATCTGTGTTAACCTGCAGGGAAGGGGCGGTTAGGAGCCAGGATGAGCACGCAGCCAGCAATCCCAAAATGAGATGTGGGAACACCCTCGTGTGGAGGCACACACAGAGCAAAGCCAGCAGTCCTTCCCACTTGTCAGGGAGACTGCTGAAAGCCATGAGGACGTCACAGCACAAAGTACGTCAGTGTCAACATGGACTTCCCAAAAGCCTGTTCCACAGCTTCCCATTGATCTGTTTGCTTTCAAAACATAAATTTCCCCATGCTGAACTGCACTAAATGAATGCTATTTAGTAGCTAATTAACTTTCTGTGCTGAAAAGCTCCCTTAATTGCACTTCTTTCACCTTTTTTAGCCCGTGTCCTCTGGGGAACCTCAGCTGTCCTACGGCATTTGTTCTGCTCCTTCCTATGGCACTCAGCGGCTCCCAGAACTGCAGAGGTTTGTAGTGAACTGATGTGTTCTGCCTCTCCTTCCTCCTGGCAGGTCTGCGATGTGATGCCCTCCAAGTACCCAAAAAGCAACACTTAAAAAAATGCCTGAGATGGAAAAAGTGATTTCTCAGCAAAGCCCCAAAAAGAATGTTTGCTTTTCAGCCCATTTGGGATGAGAGAAGGTTTCTTACCAGTGTTTATTTTATATTTTAAATCAATGCCTTATTTTGCTTTTCTCTTTCAGTTCTACCCATGCAAAAATAAAATCCTACACTAATTATGCTAATTACAATCAAGCCTTCACACCGCCTGTCCCTTGGAAGCCCCGAAGATTACCTTTTGTCTTACACACTTGGCTCTAAGCAGTGGATGGGGAACATTGGGCAGCTCACTGCCAACACCAAAGCCGTGCACCTCTGACCTGGCCCGCTACCACTGCCCTCGTGCTCAGATTGGGAGCCCAAAGGAGGTGGGTGCTCTGTGTTAGAAGCAAGAGGAGTGAATTACTGATCACACCACCGGTGTGCTTAACGTGAAGCAGTCTGTGGGAGCAGACCTCAGCAGCACCTGCCTATTCCTCAATTAAAATCCCAAACAAATAGCTCCACCGCCCCTTCGAGCCGTAATTCCTGATCTCAAGTTAGCTGCCACTATTTTTCTTCCACAGAGAGCTGGCAGCGAACCAACAGAGGCAAAAAAAAACCAAACCTGCCATAATTAACATGCTTGCTGTTCAAATATTGATACAAAGGAAGACGGAGCCGTATGCCCACACTGCTGCTCGGCTCTGCCCAACCTCACAGTGGATTGGGACAGCACAGCCCTGCCCAGAGCCCACAGCTGCCCCACTATTATGGAGCAGAGCCTCACTGAGGGACTGTGGTGTTCTTACAGGCACTGCTCCAGGTACCAGCGGCACTTCTCAAACCACACGGACCCAGAGCCAGGCCCTGAGGCTGAAATCGCCAAAAGCAGGCGAGAGTGATGCAAGACACTGCAAGAAGTTACAGGAGTTGGGAACCCAGAGCCCAATTCCCTCAGCCCTGGGAACACAACCACCCCTGGCAGCACGGCAGTGGGTGTACAGCCCTGCTGCGCCCATATGCTTCCCTGGCCCGGTCTGCAGGGAGCTGAGAGGCACCGAGGTGCTGCCACAACATCATGATGCAACAGCACGCTGTGCTATCCCTGGGGAGGCCATTTGCTGATGAGCTCCCCAGGAAGGGCTGAGCAACACTAGCAGAGATTGCATCAAGCGTGCCCAAGGAGCTGCTGCTTGCGTTGCATGCTGCGCCTGTAAGAGCTGTGCACGTGCACTCATGACTCCTTCGGAGCATGAGAACTTTACTGTGGTTTAGCTTCAGCATGAAAAGGTTGTTTCATGACCCAGAGAGTGGTAGTCAATGGCTCAGTGTCCTGATGGAGATTGGTGAGCAGTGGTGTCCCTCAGGGGTCAGCACTGGGACCAGTATTCTTTAATATCCTCAGTGATGCTGACAGTGGGATCAAGTGCATCCTCAGCAGTTTGCAGATGGGATGGGATGCCATCCATAGGGACCTGGACAGGCTGAGTAGTGGGCCCAGGAGAACCTCACAAGGTACAACCCATCCAAGTGCAAGGCCTGCGCCTGGGTGGTGGCAGCCCCTGCTATCAACACAGGCTGGGGGGTGTAAAGATGGAGCACAGCCCTGCCAAAAAGGACCTGGGGACATCAATGGATGGCAGCAGGACATGGACAGCATGGTGCCTTCACAGCCCAGAAAGCCAACAAGACCCTGGGCCACATCCAAAGCAGCATGATCAGCATGCACTGAGCACCTTGATCTAGATGTAGTCCCCGTTTATTGCAGGGCCTGTAAAGCTCCATTCCAACCCAAGCCACCCTGTGATTCTATAGTCGTGGTTCACTGCTGCAGTGAGAAGCCCCTCACAGCTCCACTGCCTCTGGCCTGACTAGCTGGGGACACAAATCCAAAGCATCCCTACAGAGCACCAAGTGCCTCAGCAACTGATTGGCACAGGGCTGCTGCCACGACCAGCTAAAGCGATTTTAGAAGCACTGAGTGACATCATGCAGGTGTCAGATGCTATCTCGTCGCAAGGACATACCAAAAGCTTTTGGTTTCACTTTGCTGATGGGGAAATGGAAGCTGAGTAATCTAGCAGGGCAGCAACAGCCCAAGGCTGGGTTCAGATCCCGCTGTCCTCAACCGGTGCCCTTCAAAGCAAAGCAGATGTTTCCTGACAGATAACAGTGATAAGGGAGAAAAGGAACACAAAGAGACCATTTTATTTCCAGCATCTCTCCTCTGCCACACAAGCGCAGTTCAGGATGAAGCCACTGTCTGTGCAACCACCTCCCATCAGCCGCTGCCCCCAGGAACCTGAGGGCCAGCAGGGGCACGGGAACCAGGAGGACAAATCCCCCTCCTGCCCACGGCCCAACCCAGCCGCAAAGGAGCACGAATGTGTGCTGGTAATGGGGCACTGCCCTCTCCCCAGCCCCAGGAATTGTGTAAATGGGAGGAAAGCATTGATCGCTGCATGGGAGCCTGGCAGCCTTTCAAACTGAGAAGAAAAAAAACAAAAACACAACAAAACAAAACCCAACAATGGATACGTTTTTATTTCCTTATGCTCTGAAAAGCGAGTTGTCGACTTAAAATGACTGACTCATTGTGCAACTCCAAGGCTTCCCAGCTCCCTCCTGCCCCTGCTCCGCTCCCTGCCTCACACACAGTGCTGAGGCTGCAGCTCCATCCTGCCCCCAGGAGCACGTCCCAAGGGTCCAGTATCATGCAAGCAGCCCATCTCCATCTCATCTGACCCAACACAGCCTAATTCTTCTGCAACGTCACGCTTCTCCATTTCTCATGGTACCCAACTGCATGGAAGGGACGGCCGAGCTGGAAAACCCATGCACTGCGCTGCTGCAGCTTTTGAAATAAGCACAGAGCAAAGTAGAAGTTCTCTTTATTGCAGCTCCCCAAAGGAGAGGGAAATAACCAGAAACAGTCGCTCCTCTTTGGAGGGAGGGTGGTGGCCAGGGGGCAGGGAGGGAGCTGCCGCCAGCAGCACTAACTTTGTTCGCACTCCAGCTCTGCTGCAGAGGAGCTGCCAGCAGAAAATCCTTCCGAAACAAGGAAGCTGTTTTCAAGCTCGTGGTGAATCCTGGAGCAACACCCCCTGCCCCTGAAAGCTGGGGTGAGCATTGGGAATCGGAGTTTTGGGCAAGACATTTGCAGAATATTCTGCTCAAACTCTCTGACTCGAGCAGTTTGCAAGCAGCACCCAGATCTGCAGCTATCATGCACAAGGCCCTGTGGGGAGGAACAATTTGGCACAAAAGAATGGACACACTGGACAAAAGCCTTTCAAGCCTGAAGCCCCAAACAATGAAAGGTCTGTTTAATTAATCTGTTGCAAATTATGAGAGCCACATCCACTGTAAGACGCTTCCAGGCTGCTGCCAGAGGAGTTAAAATAAAATAGAGGGGAAGGAAGGAGCAGCCCCCAGGAGCAGCAGGTAGGCAGAGCCAGCAGAGGGCTCCCCAGCAGCCAGGGCAGCATGCATGCACACAGCAGGGACTTACAGCTGAAATTGTATTTTATCTACGTAAAAAGAAGAAAAAAAAACCCAAAACAAACCAACTGTCTTCTCTATCGCAGGTCAGTGCTGTGGGACATAATGCAACCGACCTCTTCGCTATTGGACTCTGCGAACACAGATGTTATCACTAAAAAGGAGTGAAATAAATAGAGGTTTCCTAAAGTTTGTTCCAGACAACGATCTGGTTGGTGATCACTCAGTAAAACTCAGGTTGCAATACTTAAAAAAGGAAGGGCACTTTTTTTTTTTTGTAATAGTGACAGAAACAGCTCAAGTGTGCTCAGCATCACGTGCTGCTTCCAGGAATAAAATTACAACTCCGAAGCAAACTAAGGTGCTGGTGGCAATGGAGTTTTAATGTGCTTTTTTTGCAGTAAGTCAAATTAATCACAACATTCTCTGAAAGCACGTGCAGCTGAAGGCCCAAACAGCAGCCCAGCACTGGAGGAAAACCTCACTGGGAAAGCACACCTTAGAACCAGCAAAAGTGAAACTGCAAACCCTATTTCACGGAGTCAGCCAACACACACAGAATGGAAGAAGGAAAAGTCAGCTGTCAGAAGCCGTGTTTAACTCATTCAAAGGCCTCTCCAAGCTTTCAAGGTATGTCTCATACCATTCATCTAGTTCCCAAAGTCCTCTCATGGCCCACAGCTGTCAACAGGAGATGAGCAGAGAGCTGCAAGAGCTCTCTCTTTCAGATTTCCTCTTTTCTCTCTCTCTTTCAATGCTGTTTGGAAACCTCATGCCAGCCTGAGCAGCCTGCACTGCTCACAAAGGTGCTCTGCAGGGAGCGGGGTGTCGGGGGGGGGACAGGGAGCACTGCCCTGCAGCTCCCCAGGCTCACACTTCATGACCGCGTGCTGCTAAGATCTGCAGCAAACATGAGGCCAATACAAACGTCTGACACCACCACACTTAGGTATTCAAAAAAAATATTCAGAAAGGGTTAAACCACTTAAAACGCTTCCTTCCATAAACTTGTTCTTACTGGTATTCTCTGGGTTTGAGATTAGACCAGGAACTACAGAGGCCAACTCCTTCCGAGCGTCAAGTCTCCGCGCAGCCCGCGCGTTGCTGACACACACAAAGTAGAACTTGTTTTTCCTAATTTCAAGTGTAGTTTCAAGTTCAGCTGTATCCTTAAAATCAGCCCTGGGGTGCTTCATGAACACACCTCTCCTCTGTGTGACGGAATCGAGTGATACAGCATGGAGACTGCAGGGCAGAGAGCCAGAAACACTGCAGATCAATGTGGAAGCGATCAGGTGCACAGTGATAAAGCCTTGCTTTGCCAGGGGGCCCTCTTCCCCCATAGAGTTGACTGCAGGTGCCATTGAGAAGCACTGATCTTTGGATGCACCAATGCTGACCGTATTAGCCAGGTTAAACATCTCAGAATTCATATTTCTGCCCTACTGTGACCTTGTTGTCAGCAAAGCAGCCTTCCTGTCCCTGCAGCGCCTTGCCCAGAAGCCAGGCTTGCAGGATGCCAGCCAGACTCTTTGATGTGGCTTTGTACCAGCAGCTAGCACAGCACAACAGAGCCAGCGAGACCCACAGAGGACCTTCCCACTTCAAGTAATGCTGCTCCCAGGCCTCCAGGCAGCTCACCTGAGAGGCCCACACGTGCACAGCCCTGCACGATGGACAAGGCCACAGTTCAATGAGCAGGACTGGCCAACAAGCAATTTCCTGTGAATTACACAGGTGTCATAATCAAGGGGAAATTAAAGCAAGTCTGAAGCCAGACAGGATATTCAGCTCAATGTCACTGTCGAGCTTCTCGGTTTCCCTTAACGTCCCCAAGCTCAGCAGCCAGCAACCCAGCAATTCACCTCAAAACTGGAGAAATGGATGCACTCACCTGGTTTCATTATCCAGAAATACAGAACTACTGCTTTTCACAAGGGCTTCGCTAATGGGAGAGAGGCAGAACGGGGAAGAGAAGGCATCAGAATCAGAGTCGAAAGTGCTGTCCCTGCTCACATCGTCAGCAAACAGCTCCAGGGAGCCCTCGTCCTCCCCTGGCTCTGGCCTGCAGTCCAGCCCTTCCTCCACCGACGGCTCTGACCTGTTCTGCTCATCCTGAGAGCTGATTGTCGATAGGATTCCTGAGTCGCTGTGCGCAGGCTGCGGGGACTGCTGGGCGCCGTCTGCTGCCACGCAGCTCTGGGGCAGCTTCTCCCCATCCAAAGAAGGGGAACTGATGTAAGCCCCGTCCTTCACGAGCTGTGACACAGTCAAGATGTCTTCCTTCAGGACCGCTGCCCCTTTTGGCTCAGTGTGGGCAGTGCCAAATCCCTGAGCGTGGCGGCCTCGTTTGCGGGGAGCTTTGCGGACCGGGGAGCTCTCGGGGGTGACGTAACGCAGGGCTTCTTCATCCTGCCTCTGGATGCGCGAGTTTGGGACCCAGGCGAGGATGAGCGTGGTGCCGAGCAGCTCATCCTTCTCCATGTACAGGCACAGATAGCCTGTGGGAGAGCAAAGCAGCAATCGGTTACAACACAGCTTCAAAGTGCCTAAGGCACAACCTTGCCCTTCCTCATCGCCTCCCCTCTTCACCACCACTGCAACAAGGGCAAAGTGCTTTTGTCATCAGGAGAGAATTCTGCCACATGAATTGCGGAGTTCTCAGCATCACTCAGTGTTCACAAATAATTTCAGGTCTGCACATGGCTTCTGCATACCCTAAATTCCCTCTGGCTTAAGTGAAGGAATTGCATACAACGCTTTCAACTTCCTGGCTGGATTATTAATCGAGAGTAAATTCTGAAATATGTTGCCACATGAAAAACTTTCACTGTTTGTTAGTTAAACAATGTCAAGTGCCAGCTGAATATTTCTTCTTTTTAAGAATATTTACCTTAGTATGGCCAAAGGGCTACAATTCTCACGGAAAGCCAATAGAAGAGTCACACATACGAAAGGGGAAGTGTGGGTCAACGTTCACAGAATAATCAGTTTTGTGAAGTTAAGCCAGTAGCCACAGCTCTCTTTGATGAAAACATGAAAGAGCACAGTAACAGATGAGAATAAAGGGATAGGGGCAGTATTTATCTTCATTTATGCCAGTGCATGCAGCCACAATCAGGTTTTATTTTCCCTCTACCAAGGGTTGGTGAGGCCACTCTAGCAATAACAGTTACAGGATGATACTTGGCTTCTCTGAACCATACACGTTTAAAAGAGCATCAGAAGTTCCTGCCCTCAAATGGCAACTGTTCATCTTCTGGGAATACAAAAGGATGTTCTGAAACAGGTAGATCTATGCTACCAGAAGAAGAAACGTTGTCAATTTTTCCTATTAAAAGAACAGCTGATAGATCAGCTTGTGGATGGCTTTCCTCGGTGCCTTGAAGCCTGCCTTCCTCGTGCCCCACTGGTGTGCAGATGTTGACAGGAACAAAGTCCCCAGGAACAGGAGAGGGTAAAAAGGGTGAGTGAGCACCCACTCACCTGGGTGGTGCTCCCCGATGCCCTGCAGCAGCTCAGGTGGGTGGACACAGACATTGTTCTTGGAGTAGATAATCTCCCCATCGAGTATGGAAGATGAAGTGCTGCTGCCACCAGGGTTCAGGGTCAGGAGGTCAGAAGCTTTAGAGGAGGCACGTCGGAGGAGTCGCCCCAGAGACATCGCCGAGGAAATGTTTCCATTATCTGTCAGCTTTAATCAGGAGCCAAATTCAGAAGATCTGTCAAGAAGGAGGAAAGAACGGTGTTAGAACAAACACAAGGGCAGTGCAGCACACGCCTATGGCTGCCTGAGAAGGAAGGTCTCCCATCAAGTGCTGCTCATGCAACAGCCTCCAAGTGCTCTGGACCCCTAATGTCCTCTTTGTGGGTTAAGCATGCTAAAGCACGTAATTCTGGGATGTTTCTCTCTGCAGGGAAGAAATATGGAAGCAGTGAAAAATAAAGCAAGACCACCTTTGGTAGTTATAAAGTTTTTTCAGAGAGAAGTGACATCCCACAGACAGCCCAATAGAACTCAGCGCAGCGCAGGCACTACTGCCACCACTGCCTGCAGCTGGAACACACAGCATTGCAGCATGGCAGCTGCTGTTCTGCAAAGGGACACGAGGAGAGGAGACGCCCACTTCTGTTCCTCTGTATTTACACGGCCTCACTTTAAAGGAGCAGGCTGGCCTGACCGTGCAGCACCGTGCATTGCCACAGGGCTGGGTGCAGGTGCAGCACTCCTTGCTCACTCTGTGGTCTGCAGAGCACACGGAGGGGCAGCCAGGGGGAAGAGAAGCAGACAGGCTCAGGTTTGTGCTGTCAGAGGCATTGAGTGCAGGAAGTATGTAGGGGTGTAAAGCAAGTTCAGTTTAACATGGAATTGCTCTGATTTCTTGAACTGTGGTTCTAATGGATAAACAAGGAAGCAAGGAAGCTGAGAGGGCAAACAGAAACCAGAACTTCCCCAGCAGCAGAGTAAAAGCTGCTGGGAAGGAAAACAGCAGTCCCAGCTCAGAGTGATTTTTACATGTGATGGCAAATGAAGCCAAGTAGCTAATGGTGCCTTCGTTAAAGGGCAAGCTATTGGTTTAACTGGCAACCGCTGCATTAGTCAGCTTGAATCAGCTTTTGTTCACTGGGACTTGGAGAAGCCTCAGCCTTGCCATGCTCTGAGCCCAACAGGCTCCTATCTTGGAGGAAGTCATTTGCTCGAAGATATCTACAGAGGAAGCCACCCCTCCTCTTGCTGCACCCTGCAAGAATACAGCCAGTGAGCTCTGCTGCAGTTCCTCCTCCTCGCCGCTGCGTTCCAGCACAGTGCTGAGTCCAAAGCAGTGATGTGGAGCAACCTGTGCAGCATCACTGGCCCTGAGCTTCCACCACACCCACAGGAGCTCATCTGTCTAAAAAGGCAAAGGCTGTATAAGCAAAGAATGAAGGTTTGGTCGAGGTGGTAGCAGCTGTTGACCAGGGAATGCTTCCTTGAAAAAACATTGCTACTACAGACAACAGATGGAGATGCACCTATGAAACACGAGCTTATGTTATGAATGCCCAAATGCAGCTCCCCAGGATGCAGGAAGAGGTAGAGGACTTGTCTGCCAAGAGAAGCAGCATTTAATTAGCTTTTACCTGGCATAGTGAGAACAAAGCAATAAGTAAAGACCTAAATTCCTTCTGCTTTTCAGCTTTTTTTTTTCCCCAGCAGCTTTAAGGGAGGTATCACTTTGATCTGCAGAGCATCTGCTGCTTCAGCACTGCCTTGATGTGCAGGTGGAAGGCACTGGAGGTACATGCACACATGAGCAGGTTGTGAAGAAGAAATAAACAAGCCAGGAGGTCCAAACCATAATGTCCTGCCAACATGGAAACAGCTTGTGAACCTGCTGCTGCTCCCCAAAGGGCAGCAGCTCAGGCAACACAAACCAGCAGTCCCAGAAGTACCGAATCCAGAGGGTTTGCTCCATTCTGAGCCCTTTCCCACGTGGGACAATGTCCTGAGGCCTGGACTGTGGAAAGTGGTGCTGCCAATGCCCTGGGGCTGGGGGAGGCAGCAGGACCCCGTCCCACAGCTGAGTCAGCACAGAATCCGCACCATTACAAATGTCCTTTTCATACTTTCTATTTATCCCCCTGATCTGAAGGGATTCTTTCCAACACGACAAAGCCTGCCCAGCTCTTTGGAATCCGAAGCACTGAATTAGCTGATAAGCTCCTGTAGGGTGCCAACATTTATCAAGCGCACAGACATTTTTCCTCTCCCACACATTAACTGCCATCTCTAAACACCTTCGCTGCAGCTCCTGAGCTGCCCTCACCACCTCAGCTGCTATCCCAGCCAGCACAGCCCCTCAGCCAGCAGGCAGCTTAGAGACACACTGGGCTGCCAGCTCCTCTGCAACAGCAGATGCCCTCCGCACAAGAGCCTGCCCACTTCCAGGCAGTGGCATCTCCAACAGCGCTGGCTGCCCTTCCCCTTCTCATAACCAACAAGATCCTGTTTGGCTTGGCAGACTGCACTCTCACCTTGGCAGTGGCTGTCGGACCAAATGTCGCTGCCTCCGGTTGCACAAGATCCCTGTCTGCTGAAAAAGGAATGCAAGGAGGGCTCCAGCACATTGCCACCCTGCAGCCACCCATGGGGCCTCTCCCACCAACATGCTTGGCTCAGGGGCACTCAGCGATGTGCTGCAGCCTACGGCCACGCTGCCAGCGCTCCAGGCCTGACAGCAGATCTTACATCTCCAAGGGCAAACGTTCTGTATAAGAGTGTAATCACTTCACAAGCAAAATAAGCCAAATGACAAGGCTCCTGAAGGGAAACACGAGGCTCACAGCACACCTGTGCGTAAAGGAGAAATGAGAGCTGTCAAAATCAGCACCAAATTTGAGCATGAAATGTCTTAAGAAAGAAAACCACAACAAGGTTTTTTTCTTTTTCTGCCTTAATAACTTGAAATTGATTTTGCAGATTAAAGGAAGAGTCACTGCACAGTTGAGGTCTCAAGCCCAGTAGGAGTTACTGCTTCCTCCTGCTCCCCTTGGGCAGAGCAATCACTCCATCTGCACTCTGGGCACTGGATGGCAGAGCGCAGGGACATTGAGCCAAGTATCGACCTTCTCTTTGCACTAAGAAAAATAATAGCTATCCAACCCACTAGCTATTAGCTAGAGCTATTTAAGATGCCAAATCATGGGGAAAAAAAAAAAAAAAAAAAAAAAGTTTACCGTGGGGAGCCATTCTGAAGTCACTCCATTTTGCAGGGAGAATGATGTAGGTCACCAAAAGCTTTTCCTTTCCAACCTGCAGGTGCAGGCGGGGCACAGAGCAAAGGAGCGACAGCAGCCACAGTGAAGCATCCTGCCTGCTCCCATGCAGCAGGTTTCACTGAGATGAGAGGTAAAGAAGGGACAGCAGACTGCACGCTGCAAGTTTGTGACTCAGAGATAAAAAGGGAAACGAAATGCCATCATCGACGCCTGCTGGCTGCTCCCAGCCACACCTGCTCAGGCATAAAAAAAGCAAACACAACACTTACACGCCTCCAGCCCTAAAAGTCAAACGGCAGCATGAAATGATTTGCTCCTGACGTCCCTCAGTCCCAAGATTAGCCATCCAAGATTAACCATCATTTCACTTAACTCATCGTTTACTTAAGGGAAGTGCTGGTGTGGTAGACAACATAACGGCCTTTTATCGGCACAGTCCTGCAGCCACTGCCCTGTGACTCTCACAATGCCCAACGAACAGCTGAAGAAAGCCCAGAGTCTGCGGCCACACAGACCAGGGCTCACTGAGCAGCCTCAGAGATGTGCCCATGCCCTCCAGCGAGACCTGCCAGCAGCTCTCAGGGCAGGGCAGTGGCTGGCACGGATTCTCCAGCTTTAGCCATGCGATCACCAGGATGAAAGCAAGTCCCGCAGCCTCAGAAGCCGCTCGAAGAGGCAGCAGTAAGCCGGGCATCCCTCCTCTGAGCTGTCAGCAACAGCCAGTCCTCCCGTTCATCCCGTTCTCTCTTCAGAGACCTTTCATTAGTTCTGTCACCGAGTGCATCCATCGAGACAGCCGAGCGCCTCGCACGGCAACGCAGCGCTGGGGGTACGGGGAGCCCCGATAACGGCAGAGGACCGACGCTCCGGGACACGGGAGGGCAGTTCGGGAGGGACGGACAGACGGACGGGGAGGGGAAGGGGGGGAGATTGGAGCAGCGAGGAGGGGAGAGACAAAGAGCGGGGAGAGCGCGTGCTGCTCCCGGCACCGGGCTGGGAGCTCTGCCTCGTGGGCCCGGAGCGTGGAACCACGGCCCGCCGAGCGCCCCTGGGCTGCTACCGACAGACAGGGCCGGGGAACTGCCCGCCCCATCGCCCCGTACCCACCGCGCGCCGTGCGGGGCTGCCGAGCTGCCCTCCTCCTCCTCCTCCTCTTCGTCGCTCCGCGCGGCCCCGAGCTGTGCCCGCCCCGCCCCGCCTCACAGCTCCCGGTAACCGCCTCCGTGCCGGCGGGGAGCGGCGGAGAAGGACGAAAAAGCCCCGCCCCGCTCCGTTCCGCCTCGCCCCGCCCGCTCCGGCCCCGTTATCCTGGTACCTGTGCCCGCAGCGGGGCCGGGGGGCAGCGCTGGGTTGAGGCGGCGCGGCCCTTCCCCCCCCCCGCTCTGCGGGGTGAGGTGGTGCGGTCCGAGCGCCCTCGACCCCCGCCCGCACCCCCCCCATAGCGGGGAGAGGTGGTCGGATCCACCTGTCACGTGACCGGCTGTTGACTCGTCGCCTGGCAACGACAAGATGGCGGTGGCGGCGGGTGAGTGAGGGCTGCGGCCCAGCCCCGCTGCTTTGCGGTGCCACATCGTCTGCTGTGCTTCTCGCACGGCTGCTGTGGGCGTATCAGAAAGCAATTCACCCGAAAAAGAGAGTTATCCCAAAGAAAGTTCCTTAGGTGCACGGCGGTGTGGTGTTTGATGGTGTTTTTTGAGGTTTGACTGTGATAACAGCTCTTTCCTTGTCAGCACTGTACGGTATGTGAAGCTGGGGTACGGCCGGGTCCCTTGCAAAAGAGGCGATTTTATTGCTGCAACCACAAAACTACAGCAGGGAGAAGAACGTGGGGGAAGTTCTTTCTTATGAGAGTGGTGAGGTGCTGGAACAGCTGCCCAGAGAGGCTGTGGTGCCCCGTCCATCCCTGGAGGTGTTCATGGTCAGGTTGGATGCACCCTGGGCAGCCTGGGCTGCTATCAGATATGGAGGTTGGCAGCCCTGCCTGTGGCAGCGGGGTTGGAGCTTGATCCTTCCAACCCAAGCCATTGTATGAAGTGCACAAAAAGGCTCTGATGAAATGGGAGATGTTTCTTTCTAGTGCCCGATCTCTGCAAAGGTTTCTTTTTATCAGAAGTGATGCTGCTTTGCCAGTGTATTTGTGAGCTGATGATGGAACAGGATTCTCTTGCTTGTCTTTCATGTTGTCTGTATCTCATAATGACAAAAATAAGCAGGTTTTTAGGGCAGACAGATTGCAAAGTTGATTCAATTGGTGAATTTCATATTCTAGGAGAAATCTCCTGAAGCTTTCTCAGACAAAATGGAATTTGATGGTAGCCCTCCTGAACTGGCAGAGATGGAGCAACCAGAAACAGAGAGTGAGAGCCCTTCCCATATGGCTTCAGGAACTCCTATGCAGGCACCTGCATTTGCAGGGGAGTTGAACAGCTCCACAGAGCCAGGTATCATCCCATTCCTTACTGACACTACAGTAGCTGATGCCATCTAACAAACAAAATATCCAGCTTTCTTCCTTTCTGGTGATTGTGAATCCAACTTTAGACATAACACTACAAAATGTGTTGGTTTTTTTAATTTTCCTTTTTCCCTTTCTGTTCAGAATCTGCCTTGGAGCAGTTTAATCAGCTTGCTAGTGAGCATGGTGGCCAAAAATGGGAACAGGAACATCAGCAGGTCGGAGCTGAGCAAAATGAAACAAGTGGAAGAAGTAACGAAGCAGCAGAAGAAACACAGCTAGTTGTCCTGGATCCAGAACATGTGAGAAATCTCCAAATCTTGCTTTTTGCTGTTGGTTGTATTCGCAGCTATACAGAATGTATGAGGCAAATTCTAAGCAGTGGTTTAGCTGTGTGCTAAGACTAGATGTTTAAAAATAGGTTCTGCTAAAGTGCTGACTCCTGAATGTCTGTTCTCAGTATTAAACTCAGATTCAAACGTGAGCAATGCTGTGGGCATATTGGCTTCTATTTAGCACTCCTGAGAGACAAGTACTCCATACAGGAGGGAGTGGATGGGCTCTCAGATGTAGCTCTGCTGATGTTTCTGACTTTCAGATATTCTTAGTTGTTGTTTTCTGTTGTCAATGAACTCCCACTGTATAACTTGCTGCAGTGAGGGTAGCTAAATAGGAATCCAAGCCTCCATGGTAGAGAATATGATGTTTTATTCAGTAGTGGCAGTAGTATTAAGGTTCCTTCATCATTTATTGATACAAGTGTGTTAAAATCATCACCATCACGCTTTTTTACAGCCTCTGATGAGAAGATTCCAGACTGCCCTCAAGAATTACCTTACTAAGCAGATGGAAAAAGTGGATCTAGAGCTTCGAGAACTGGTAGATGAGAGTATTTTGTTGCCTTCTCACAGCGCCCTGTGCAAGTTGAAGGGAGGGAACCAATTTCCTCTTGTATTTGCAGAGGACGGCGACAAAGAAGAGCAATGAACAGAGAGAAGAGCTCGGGGTGATTCTTTATGGTGCACAGCAGCAGCTGGCCCATCTGCAGCTGGAGCTGGAGAAGAGCCACAGCCGTTGTTCTCAGGCAGCCGCAGCGCGTCGGCAGCTGGAAGAGGAACTGGAGGGCCTCAGGCTGACCTACCAGAAAGTGTGTCAGAACACGGATGATGAACGCAGGAAAGGTGACTGAGGCAGTCCTTGTGATACAGAGCAAGCAGTGGATTTCAGAATACAGTGAGATTCACGTGGAATGATGCGCTCACTGTGGAGTTTCATTGGTGCTCCTAGTTCTTAGGAGCATCCGTGCGGCAGCCTCTTCTAGTCTGTCCATTTTATTTGTGCTTAAAGTGTGTCCTTCAAACATAGTTCTCAGTAAATATTCTTTCTCCCACCTCCTCAGTTTCTGCAATGCAGACCCAAGCAGAAAACTTGGCCTCACGTCTCTTGCACATGCAGAATATGGATGAGGAGATGCATCATAATATCTTACTGATGAAGCAGTCGACAAAGAAGGCTGAAGCAGAGAAGATTCAGGCTGAGGTGGAAAAGAAAAAGCAGGTATCAAGTAAAACTGTCTGCTTTTAGATAAAGATGGATAACAGTGATGAATCTTGGAGATGCTGCCTTGGCAGAAGAAAAGCTGTAATGACAAATGTAGAAAGTGCATGGGGACTTCATTCCCAAAGAATTGGAGAAAAACAAAACAAAAACAAATCAACCAACCCAAACAGAACAAACACGCACACACACAGCACACAAAACCCACACCACAAAGTGTTTCTAAAAAGGAAGGAAAAGCCACCACGAAGATGGTGGTATGCACTGCCCACAGGTCCTCTGCAGTTCTTATGGTAGTAAATCGCTCTTCAAGCAAGCAAAGGGGGATGGGGAGTGAAGGTAGTGAAGAAGTGTCATTGTTCAAGCTTTAAGGATTACTCTGAGTCACAGTGAGGTTCACAGAGGAAATTGAACTTTGGAAAGGAGCAAGCCTGTTGGTGTGCTGGAGCTCCCTCTGCTGCCTTCTGCTTGCAGCAGGACACACACCGATGATTTTTAATGCAGGGTTGTACACAAACACTTGAAGTAGAGTGGATTTAGATGTTTTCTAACAAAGCATTTTACATCATAAGCTATTAAGATTCCAAATGGTGAGGTGTCATAATCCAAACTGACAGGAAGAAATGTTAATTCAATTTCCAAAGTGCTGGTTTACTAATGTGAACAATAAGCAAAAGATAACAAAATCAGCAAAAAAGGGCTCTTTCTTTTGAGATTTCTCTTCTGCACCCGTGGCAGTCATTCATATCTGAACAGAGAGGTTCAGTAAGAATCAGCTCTGATCCATTTGCCCATTCAGTCTTGATATGTCACATATGGGCAGTCACATATGGGCAATCTTGTTGCATATATAGCTGATGAAGACTGAGACTGCATTACTCACCCTGAACTGCTTGATTCTGACTCTTTAGGATCTTCTAGTGGAACGCTTAACAAGAAAAGCCTATGAACTACAAGAACAGATTGCTCTGTTTGAAGCCCAGTTTGTGGCCCAGGCAGAGGACACCAAAGTAACTCGGCAGGCAGTGAATGAGGTGAGAAGTGCACTTTTGTTTCTTTTTTCTTCTGGTTAACATTTCCGTTTGGGGTGACTGACCCTAAGGCTCATGTGATAGGTGCAACACAGGCCACAGCTTTATAGTCTGTTCCTGTTTGCTGACACGAAGATATTTCTTGCCTTTGTCCTTAAGAATTGTCTGTAAATCACTTCTTAGCCCACTTCCTCAGCACTTTATCTTGAAGGCCTATAACTTTTCTGTGCAATAAATCAGACGCTTGACCTGAAGCTGTTTCTGCCTGGCATATTATGTCAAGAAAAAGGTACTGCTTTGCAAAGTATATCTGGTTTCTCAACCCAGCAAAGGTTCAGCCTGTCTACACGTTCTCTCTTCTCTAGGCCCGTATGGAGGTGCAGGCTATTAACATGGAGAAGAAGCAATTGATGAACCACTGGACAAACAGCTTAGCTGGAGTGAAGCAAAGAGATGAGGCCTATGTCGCTGCACAGGAGCTGCTGAGGTATGGCATCTGAGAAATGCCCCAGGAAAGGCCTCAAATAATTTGGAGAGCAGAGATTCTAAAAGGGGCAGGGTGTCTTCTGTCACGTCTGTTACTGCCTGGATATGTTAGAGCAGGATATGTTAGACAAAGCAAGTCTGCTGCTCTGAAGTACATCATAGCAAGGTTATGGGCTAAGA